CCCTGGTCTGCACACCAGGGGGACGGAGAGCAAAGCAGAGCAAAGCCCCGGAACACGTGGGCAGCGGACAGCCCAGACGCATCTGGGCTGCCCGCTGCCCGCGTGCTCCGCCGCCCGCATGCTCCGCCGCTTTGCTTCCTCTCCCTGGTCTGCTGGAGACCAGGGAGACAGGCCCCGTTCGTAACTGCGGAGCCAACATAAGTCGGATCCGCATAACTCGGGGACTGCCTGTATATTTGCATGTATATGCAACCACACTTAAGTTGCAGCTCTTGGTATGTGCTGTGAGTATCATTGTGGCTCCCAGGACTTCCAAAGTTGAGTAGCCCTAGGCTAGAAGTTGAAGCTAGACAAATGTACACTGGAAATAAGGTGTAAATTTTTAACGGTGACAGTAATTAACCATTGGAACAATTTTCCCCATGTGGGTTCTCCATCACTGACAATTTTTAAAACAAGATTTAATGTTTTTAAAAAAAAGCTCTGCTCTTGGAATTATTTTGGGAAAGTTCTGTGGCCTGTGTTATACAGTAGGTCAGACTAGATGAACAGAGTGTTCCCTTTTACCCTTGGAATCTAGGAATCTAAAACGGTACGTTAGAGATGTCAATGGTAGGAAAGAAAGACACTGCCGTGACAGACTACCTCCCATACACACTCAAGCATTTATATCTGGACGCAGCTTTTTGTACCTGGCACTGATCTGACGGTTAGACTGCAGAGGCTCTTATAATTCCCATAATCCTTTAGTGTGGATTTACACTCTTACATCTTTCACCTTTTGCAGAAATATTAAGATGTTTGTGAAATTACTTTGAAGGACGTTATTAAAGGGAATTATAGATTTTTCTCATACACAGCCCAAGCCCTCATCTATACTCTTTAGACTCAGTATTTTGCATCTAATCCATTTTGAACCTACTCAAAAGCACAAATTTAAAAGATGCAAATGGACACACTTAGTATTCTGAGGTTTATAGAAGTAATTCAGAAAAAAGTTCACAAGTTCTAATATATTTTAAACTGCTCCTTTCTAAGGATGTTACATAGCGAGTAACTGAACAGTCATGTAACCACATAAAATGTAAGTGGTTACACAGCTATTCAATAGTCCCTGGAAGAGGGGCAGCAACCAGTGCACTCCCAGCCCTACTCCCAGGGAGCCCCATGCCACCCCACACTGCTGCCTCTCTATCAGAGGAAGCAGTGTGGGGTGGCAGGTGGAAAGTGGTCCACAAGGGGAGCTCCCAAGTTGACTGGCTCCTGCCTGCTGCCCTGCACTGCTACCTCTGATACAGAGACAACAGCATGGGGAGGCAGCAGCCTCTGTCTGTGGGAGATTGGGCCCCCAATGGACAGGGGCTGTTCTATGAGATGCTGGAGCAGTCTACGTCTCCAGGGAGCTTGGACCCCTCCTGGACTGGGGCTGCTGCCACGGTGTAGCCTCTGTCTGCGGGGAGCCTGGACCCACTGCAGACACTGGCTGCTTCGCAGCAGCCCTCATTGTTCCCCCCTCGTGCTTCTGCCTCTGATAGACGCAGCAGCATGGGGTCAGGTGGGAGAAATCGGCTTATAAGCCGGCTCCCCTCAGCACTGGCTCCTGCCTGCCCCCCACCCTCCTGCCTCTGTAGGAGGCAACAAGTGGGGGGGCAGGTAGGTCCATGGAGCTGGCACATGCAGAGAGCTGGCTTTTAAGCTGGCTCCTCACAGACACTGCCCCCGCCCTTGCTGTCTCTGATACAGAGGCAGCAAGGGAAGAAATGTGTGTAGTTGACAGGATTAACCGATAAACCCAGACTTATCAGTTAATCATGCAGTTGTCTACATGCTGATATCCCTAATCCTTTCACGGTATTATTTTTCAATGCCACTCCTGTCCAGCTTCACAAGTAAGGCAGTTAAAAAGAGAGCTAGCTGTGACTCTCAGGTCCATGTCCAGGTGTGTGAAGAAGAGAGCGAATGCAGTTCTAGAAGGAAGTGATTAGCACTCATACTTACTTGGCCAAAATACCCACACTTAGGATTAGCTTGATAACTTCTGTGATGCACACAGCAGTGGTGGCAAAGTAGAGTTCTGTTTCTGACGTCCTAGTGTATCGTAAAGCTATAGTATATGTTGCAGCCACCAAGGTCATCACCGTCAAACAGTACAATTTAAACAGCAAAGTGACATTCTCTGAAACGCAAAAATATAGCTTGGTAAGGAACATGAAACAAAGAGCAACTTGCTAGCATTTTTACAGCAATTCAGCATGTTCCTCATTCCAAACTATGAACACAATCAAGTATTTGTATAGCAGTAGGATAAGTCTCAAGTGCACTGGACTAGTTCACAGTAATTCCACTACAATTCCGTTGCAGTATCTAACCTCAAAGAGGCTATCGAGAAAAGAATATCCAGGTATGTTTCATTTCAAATGGGTTACTTTACTAAAGAACTCCACTGCTCCAGAAAGGTAAATATCCATGTATGATTGTAAACTATGCGGTAATCTATATTCCACTGTATCTTCCTGTCTCTAGAACATGTGTATGATCACTTGCTAGAAAATTGCCGAGACTCACAGGCTGTGTCTAGACTGGCAAGTTTTTCCGGAAAATCAGCCACTTTTCTGGAAAAACTTGCCAGCTGTCTACACTGGCCGCTTGAATTTCCGCAAAAGTACTGACGATCTCATGTAAGATTGTCAGTGTTCTTGCAGAAATACGATGCTGCTCCCATTCGGGCAAAAGTCCTTTTGCACAAAACTTTTGCGCAAAAGGGCCAGTGTAGACAGCCCAGATCTGTTTTCCGCAAAAAAGCCCCGATGGCGAAAATGGCGATCAGGGCTTTTTTTGTGGAAAAGCGTCCATGCCAATCTAGGCGCTCTTTTCCGCAAATTCTTTTAACGGAAAACTTTTCCGTTAAAGCATTTGCGGAAAATCGTGCCAGTCTAGACGTAGCCACAGCAAAAGACCCTATACAGAGCAGCAAAAATGGTGCATTTAAGATTTATTAAAAATTGAGATGGGAAAGGAAAAGAAGAGAAACTCAATAACAGACAATAGGTTTAATCCAGGAAATACAGTTGTAAATACTTCTTTCCCAACTCTCTTTCCCAACTCTCTTACACACTGTTCTGGTGATAGTACAAAAAGGAGGGGCTCCATTACAATCATAACTGGCTCTGTGAGAACCAGATGCTGTAGTCCAAAGGTTCCGTGGCAGCTGGAATGCGACACTTGATCAGAGAAGGGGAGTAATGGTTATTAGGGATATAAAAAATATTCACCCTGTAACTTGCAGGAGGAATAACACCCTCCTTGCAGAAGGAATAACAGGTAGTTCAAATTAGGGCTTTAATTCAAACTACCGGCTCCCTGCCGCGTGTAGCCGCGGGCAGTTAGTCCGGCGTAGTGAAATTTCAAAATGGCGACCAGACGGGAAGATACAAATAAAGCCCGGGATATTTAAATCCCAGGCTTCATTTGCAACTTCGAATGCCTACATTAGCCTCCCTAGTTCAAACTAGGGGGCTAGTGTAGACATACCCGTGGCGATCACTGCTCCCAGCCCCATGAAGAATTTAATCATGCAACGGCAGTCAAAACAAATAAACAGGATGTTGGGAATCATTAAGAAACTGATAGAGAATAAGACAAAGAATGTCACATTGCCTTTATATAAATCCATGGCACACCCATATCTCAGATACTGCATGCAGATGTGATGCCCTTATCTCAAAAAAGACATCTTGGCATTGGAAAAAGTTCAAAAAAGGGCAACAAAAATGAGTGAGGTATAGAATGCCTGTCACAGGAGAGATCAGACAAGGGCTTTTCAGCTTGGAGAAGAGACAAAATTACGACTGGTGTGGAAAAAGTAAATAAAGAAGAGTTATTTAATTCTCCTCATAACACAAGAACTTGGGGGGGAGGGAAGAGAGCCATCAAATGAAATTGGTAACAGGTATAAAACAAATAAAAGGAAGTATTTCTTCGCACAATATACAGTCAACCTGTGGAACTCCTTGCCAGAGGATATTGTGAAGGCCAAGACTATAACAAGATTCAAAAAAGAGCTAGAAGATTCATGAAGAATAGGTCCATCAATGGCTATTAGCCAGAATGGGTAGAGATGGAGTCTCTAGCCTTTGATTGTCAGAAGCTGGGGAATGGGTGACAGGGGATGGATCACCTGATGATTCCTTGTTCTGTTCTTTCCCACTGGGGCACACATAAATGAGCAGTCCTGTGGCACCTTAGAGACTAACAAATGTATTATATCATGTGCTTTCATCAGATGAGTTGTTAGTTGTAAAAAGTATTGCTGTCCTTGTTTTATAGAAGCAGTTCAATTCCAGCAGTGAAGAGGATCCCATACTAATACCTATTCTGAAGAAATTTCAACTCTGAGAAACTGACAGATTGATTTCACTGACCTCAACAGAATAACATCAGGAATGAACTTGACCTAAGCTAGTCTCTCTGGACCAAGATGATGGTTTCTTCACCTTTCTGCATGCAAACACTACTGATGTGAACAAGTACTCAACTAGATGATTAACTGATAAGCCCAGACTAATTTAGTCAACTACTCACATTTCCCCTCCCCCCTTATTGCCTCTGTATCAGAGGCAGTGGGGGCAGGGGCCAGGAGCCAGTGCTGGAGGCTGCTGCCAATGGGTAGAGATGGAGTCTCTAGCCTTTGATTGTCAGAAGCTGGGGAATGGGTGACAGGGGATGGATCACCTGATGATTCCTTGTTCTGTTCTTTCCCACTGGGGCACACATAAATGAGCAGTCCTGTGGCACCTTAGAGACTAACAAATGTATTATATCATGTACTTTCATCAGATGAGTTGTTAGTTGTAAAAAGTATTGCTGTCCTTGTTTTATAGAAGCAGTTCAATTCCAGCAGTGAAGAGGATCCCATACTAATACCTATTCTGAAGAAATTTCAACTCTGAGAAACTGACAGATGGGCATCAGGCAGCCTGTCTGCGTGGGGAGCTGCTTTTTAAAATGGCTCCCCTCCAAGACCAGAGCCTGCCTGGTACTCCATTGATACAAAGGTAGCAGTGTGGGGTGACAGTGGGCTCCCAGGGAGTGGGGCCAGACTGCACTGGCTTTTCAACTCTGAGAAACTGACAGACTCTGAGAAACTGGGGACTATAGAATAGTCGACTAGCCGCTAAGAATTCATGCAATTAGTCAACTATTCTACTATAACTATGTAATATCCCAAACAAGCACTACATTATTGTTTGCAGAACCCTTCCAGTCTCTCTATAACAGATTAAGAAAACTGTCTGGGAGAAGGTGAAGAGAAAGATGACCTTTCCAGGATCCTGGAAGTTCCTATTAGAACGTACTATACATGTAGTTCACTGCAACCAAAGTAATGTCAGAAAGCCTTTTTAACTGTATATGTGAATTATAACTGACAACATTAAAACAAAATTAGGAAGAGTAAATTCTGAATCATATAAAAACAAGTGTAGTTTTGGTTTTCCAATACAATAAATCAATACTGAAAGTTGGGAGAAAATCTCCTGCATTTTCTTTCTGATCATTTTATTTCTGTGGCAGCATTATTTCCCCGTTCTGTTATTTTGGTTTCATTTGATTCAAATCTCTGTTTAGTTAAAAATAATTCCCCAAGTAATATTTTAAGGACATAATTTGCATGGCACCTTTGAAAAGTTCAGAATCTAAAACTTTCCAGCAGTTCAGAAAGGGCTCTAGAATTCTTGGCCACTGCATTAACACATCACCTAGTAATGATTTACAGCTAGATTTTGCTGCATTTACTCAGGCTGAGTGATATCTAGTTCTGCAAGTAGTCCTGTTTATTTCATTAAGATACTGTTCAGCACAAGTAAGCACGGCAGAATCTGGCCTATAACATGATACTGACTTCCTCTGTAACATGCTTTGAGATCTAATGATAAAATGCACTATAAAAAAGTAAAATATTATTACTAAGACATAAAACCTTCTGTAATACCTCTCTACTGGTTTCTGAAAAGTGGTATATTGTAATGGAGGACACAGTGCATATAAGTAGGTACCATAGTTCCCTCTAAGGTGCGCACCTGTGCAGCCACACACAAAAAATTCTAGGCCCGTCCACCTTCTTCACAGAGCCACACAGCAGCACTCACTTTCCTGCTGGAAGGTGAGTGGTGTGGTAGCCTATAGCTCCAGTGGCAGGCAGGAAAGCCAGCTGGTGGGGCTGCGTGACAGGCAGCTGCCTTTGGGGCCACGGTAAGGCTGCCCCAGTAGGGACAGCCTCACTGCAGCCTCAGTTCCAGCTTCATTTCATTAAAGGGCGTAGCATCGGGATCTCAAAAGGTAAGTCTGCAGTTATCTAAGGGATAAAATAGATGGCAAATGGTTAATGTCCTGCTTCCTGCTCATATTTTATTTAAGAGCCTAAACTACGTAAAGGAGAACAGTTCTTTAACTCCCTGTATTCCACTTTTGAAGGCATCAATCATGTCAATTGTGTTGATTGCGCCAAGGACTATTTTTCTCCCTGTGGAAGTTATTTCTTGCTCACACGCATGCCTACTACTCCTTCTTGTGCACCAACCCCCTCTTGCGCAAGAGCTTTCTGCCTGAAAATAAGCGGCAGAATGGCTCTTGCACAAGAGGGGGGTTTTGCGCAAGAAGGAGCAATCTTGCGCAAAAGCCCCTTGCACAAAAATGGTGATTCATTTGCATATGTTCTTGCACAAGAGAGCACAATGTAGATGTAGCCAGAGTGTATAGGCAACTAAAACAATATTCGTTACCAATTTTTATTTTGTATTGATGCTAAATCAATATGCAATTGAACTGATGATGACATATTGAAGGGACTTTTCTATGATTCACAGGGGGTCTAAAGCATGAAGATACTATAAGAAATATAATCAATAATTAGATTATGAACTGTGTAGTAATGTGAACTAAAGAAAAAAAACTGGATGAAATTTTCTGGTGATATTCCTAAATTCATCTTCTGAATGTTACTAACTTGCAACTGCAGAATGAGTTTTTAGACTCAATGGTGAGGGATGATGCATTCATTTTTTTATGCTTTACAAATTACTGGGTTTTTTTACTGGATCGGGCTGGGAAGAAAGTTCAGGGGTTGGAAAGAAGGGGATACTGTGCAGAAGTTAGGGGCCAAGGGGGCACAATGAAGGGTTAGTGGTAAAAGGTGCACATGATGGGGGTGCAGGGGTTGGGAAGCCCA